CTCAAGAGCCTCATCCAAGCCAAAATTGAGTTTTATGCACCACCGGTCAAATGATTAATAATTAATGTAGTAATAAAGCAAAAAGAGAAAATAATTCAAGCAAAACAATGATGTAGAATGATTCGGTCAATGTGACTTACGTCCACTTTGAAGGGCTAGGATGACTTGAGTGTTTTATTACTTTGAGGGGTATAGGAAGAGCAGAGAGATACAAGCTATGTGAGTAGGTGGGGTCATCCCAAGAGCCTCATCCAAGCCATCTTGGAGTAATGGTCATCCACGCCGCCTTGGAAGAAGTCAACTACTACGTCATCCTTTGACCGGATCTTATGAGAAGCGTCGCAACTGCCTCATCCGTTGAGAAGATGGTGCCAACTCTACCAAATTAGTCTTTTAGTTACTGATAAGCCGGTTCAATCTGTTATGAATGACTATAATTGTAAGTCCCGCCAAGTACATTTGCTATCACCTCTCTCTCTCTCTCTCTCACACACATATAGCTTGTACCTCCCTATTCTCCCTACACTCCTTAAAGTAATAAAAAATTCAAGTCATCCTAGCCCTTCAAAGTGGACGTAAGTCACGTTGACTGAACCACTCTACATCCTTGTCTTGCTTGAATTATTTTCTCTTTTTACTCTATTACTGCATTAATTATTAATCACTTGACCGGTGGTGCATTGAACCCAATTTGTGCATCACTAAATGTAAAATTCAAATATATACAATCTTATCTACTCGAACCAAATCATGATTGTTCAGATGACTGTAGAGAGGTGTAAAGTTACATATATATTCTTTTCGGAGTAAAAAGATAAGTTGGTTATATGAAGAGTTTTTGTAGTTAATCGTGGATCATTTTTCAATGGTCTAACCTCTGTTATTTATAAAGACGACTCTTAACCGTCAATTCATCACCACAACCTCCTCAAAACCATTACAATTTTACCACCTTCGTTACCCCACAAGCATCACCACAAAAAAATATTGGGCGTAACCATTATTGAAATGTCATATAGTATAATTGAATAAATTAGCAAGTGAACCTTCCAAAAATTCATAAGCAAATCTTTGTATAGATTACTTCTTTTGCCGTCAAAGTACCTATCGTATCAATTCATATTTGGTCGCCAGAAACCCAACTATATAATACACAACCATCTTGATGATTAAATAGTTATACCACAACAGTAAATAGTTATACCACAACAGTATTGTTGGCAAGGCGTAACCGATAACCCCAATATTTACTCCATCACCACCCCCCTCCCCTGCAAAACCACTGCCACCCCTGTTGCTGCCACCGCTATAGTCATCACCACAGTCACCCGGCCACTAAAAACCACCACCACAACACCACCACTAACCCACCATGACCAACATTGCCCCAACCAAAGCCTCCCTCCATCATAACCACCATCACCCCCACCAACTGGTTCCCATTTAGAATTTTAGATGTGGGTCAATAGATGGAGTTAAATATTAGAGAAAATCTCTCCCGATTCATCCGACTCCGATGGTCCCACGTAGTAATCTTAGACCAACGGCCATTAGTGGAAGCCCACACATAAAACCAACCTGTAAAGATAATAACAGCATAAACTTTGGATGGGACCCACGAATAAAGGGCCAATGAAAACTCATACACGTTTCATACTTATCTCCGCCGGAATCAACGTGATGCGAGAAATCCACTCGATCACAGCCACGGCTCTCGTGTGTGCTGGATCCCACTATCCTTCCGCCTTTAAATCAGGAAACCACACCCACCAAAAACCCAGNATCCGCCACGGCTCTCGTGTGTGTTGGATCCCACTATCCTTCCGCCTTTAAATCAGGAAACCACACCCACCAAAAACCCAGATCGCCTGATACTATTTTTAAGAAAATCAAATTCTCTCTCTAGAGTAGCAGTTCTCTTTCTCTCTCTAGAAAACATGGGGAGTTTTGAGCAGCAAGTGAAGGACAGAGCGAAGGAGCTGAAGACCTTCTTCAAGAAGGGTGTGAAGATTGTGGGTGATTCGTGCAAGAAAGGATGGGACAAGGTCAAACACATCAGAGGCTGACATATATATATATATATATATAAATATTTTCTGTTTCTTATTATGGAAATTGTTCATTGTAGGTTTGGTTTTCTAGGGTTAAGGCTAATGGTTTTTGTGGGTTATTCTATTGGTTTACATGAACTCTTTGGAGTTTTGGTTTTTTGTTTTCTTCAAGTATTGTAATTTTTTGGGTTTTGATCTTTGCTGTTAGTTTTGGATTGAATTTCTCCATGGATTTAATTAATTTATTTGGTGGATTTTATTGATGTAAACTGAATTTATTATTATCTGATTTATGTCCCTCATTATTCATTTATTTGGTGGTTTGTATTTTTGTGGGAAGATGGTAGGTTTAATCATTCATTATTAGTCCAGATTCGAGTAATCGATCATTGCTGTTGCACTTTAAAATCGTTGATTCGAAACTCATAAGTCTTCCTCCCTAACCAAAAATCATTCACCATATGTAAATCACATTTATTTTTATCATACAAATGTTTGTCCCCAACTAATTAAACCTTTTAAACTACTAAAATGGAGATCTAGGGCCTCATTTATATATATATATATATTTTTTTGGAGTGTTTTAAATCAATTTTAAAATTGTTAAGATGGTAACATATCAATTTGAGTCTCAAAAAATTATAATTTGAACATTAAAAGTAAAATATTTGTATTTATTTTTTGTCAAAATGTAATATAATTCGTTAATACGATACAAAATTAGAAGGTTTGAACTTTCTTTAAACTACTCATTTTATTAACGAGTGGGTCTAATATAACACGATTGATTATAAGTAAAATTAATCAAAAAAAATACATGATGTGACTCATTTATATACATGTTGTATATAATACGAATTCAATATAACACGATTAATTATACATAAATTAATAAATAAATGAGATATAAGTGAGTATTTTTTACACACACTTTGTTAAAATTTTATAAAAACCCATTTCACCTATTGTTTCACCACTAAATTTAATATAATTCTATATCTATCAAAACTTACATCACGGTGAGCTATAGTCGTTGGATCAATAGCATTGCTCTTAAATTTATGTAACATACAATTTTTTTTTTCTCTCCCGTCTGGAATATGCCCAAAATAACAAATAGCCAACAGGCTTACGTAACATGTAAACAGCCTGTCACTCTACCAGTTTGACAACAGAGCTTCATCGCATCATCTCATGCTTATCTCAACTCTCACCCACCACGTGTCTCTTCTGGGTATCCATTTTCCATAATATTCCTCCAAATTCGAATATGCATTTTCCATTCCTTAGATCCACCTGTCCTCTCTCCTACCATAATACATCACAACCATAATCACATGCCGTGTAATCTTGAAGGGGCGCGCGAGTTTTGCATATCTGAGTGCTAGTCATTGACGGTGTACTCTATTACTGTAGTCCAATAAACATATCAACATTATTTATTTAATCAAGAGTAAACTACACGATACCCTTTTAGTTTGGTAAAACAATACCATCGACCCCTTAACAATCGAAAAATGAAATAGAACCCCAAGATTTCTATGGGATAACCTGGACATCCATTTATATGTTTAGGTATCGTTTGATAATGCTTTCAAAAGTATTCTTTCGCTTTTATATTTTTTTTAAGTAAAAAAGCAAAAAATAATGTTTGTTATCACAAAAATTATAAAATGATCCAAAAAAACAAATAAAAAAAATCACAAAATTTGTAATGGTGTTAAAGTACCAACTTTTTTTTTTTGCCGATAGTGTAGAGTTCTTCCTTTTTTGGTGCGTGCCATAAATGACTTATCTCTTGATATTCAAGCTCATATATCATATTAGTTTACATTCTCTTGACTAGCATATTATTATGATATTTCGATAATACATATATTAGCAGTGGGTTGCTTTAAACTTAATTTGAGTTTTTTTTTTTTGGGTNTTTTTTTTTTTTCCGATAGTGTAGAGTTCTTCCTTTTTTGGTGCGTGCCATAAATGACTTATCTCTTGATATTCTAGCTCATATATCATATTAGTTTACATTCTCTTGACTAGCATATTATTATGATATTTCGATAATACATATATTAGCAGTGGGTTGCTTTGAACTTAATTTGAGTTTTTTTTTTTGGGTTAGACATTATTATTAAAGAAAAAGACGACGAAATTTGAATCTTTGACCTTAAATTCAAACAACAAGGGTGGTGATCATTAAGTCAACTGCAAACTTACTCAATAAGCTTAAGCAAACCTCAGCCCCGAACGGCTGCCCAACTTGTAAGGGATCTTCATTAAATACTAAGAGGTCGTTGTTTCATTTTATCAAAACTCGGGGGATGTTAGTGAAATTTATCGTTAAACTAAAGAGCAATGCTGAATTTAAAAATTAAATTTGATCATTTTAATCATTGGTCCAATAAATACTAAAATCTACCTTAAAATCAATGATCGAGATTATTAAACTTAATTTTTAATTACACCTAACATTCCCGTAAACTAAATCACAGAGGGAATTCTTACCAAAATTCGGTTAAGAGTCGNGGGGATGTTAGTGAAATTTATCGTTAAACTAAAGAGCAATGCTGAATTTAAAAATTAAATTTGATAATTTTAATCATTGAATAGGTATCAGGTCCAATAAATACTAAAATCTACCCTAAAATCAATGATCGAGATTATCAAACTTAATTTTTAATTACACCTGACATTCCCGTAAACTAAATCACAGAGGGAATTCTTACCAAAATTCGGTTAAGAGTCGTTTTAGTTTCTCTTCTCCGTCCACCTCCCTCTCTCGCTCCCTCCCTCCCTGCCTCCCTCTTTCAGTTTGTCTCTCTGTATCTGGCTCGCTCGCTCGCTCTCTCTGTCTCTCTCTCTCTAAACATATACATGTATATCTCTGCCTGATCTTCCATTTCTGGCTCTTCTTTTTCTCTCCTAGAGCTCAAAGTAATCTTCTCTGCTATGGAAATGGAGATGAAAATGAAAGGTTCCTGCTCGATTTTTGATATGTCTAGGGTTCGTGAAGGACTACTCGCTGTGGATCGAATAGCTAGACGATTTCCAAAGAATTCTATACAGTCTACGCTTCGAAGTTGTAAGTTTAGGGTTTGTTAAGAGTACGGATTAGGGTTTCGTAATTTTCCTTTTGGTTCTAAGTTCTCATCAATTGAAGCTGAAATTCAAACAGTTGAGATCAGATTTCCCAGGAATTTAATGAATTCCATGCCTTTAAAGTGGGNCTCGAAGTTGTAAGTTTAGGGTTTGTTAAGAGTACCGATTAGGGTTTCGTAATTTTCCTTTTGGTTCTAAGTTCTCATCAATTGAAGCTGAAATTCAAAACAGTTGAGATCAGATTTCCCAGGAATTTAATGAATTCCATGCCTTTAAAGTGGGCAAAAAAATTAGAGTTTGATTTTAGTGGTTAAAGGGGCTCTAGCGTTTGTTGTTAATTGAAGCTGAATTTTGAAAATTGAGCTCTATATCTTAGGTTTTTCTTGACTTTCATGCTTTTCGTTGTCAAGTTCATGTTAAGGTTGCAACGTTTGTGGCGTGTGCGGTGGATAGGGCTCTGATATTCATAATTTTAGGGGATTTGGAATGGTTGTTCTCTTGGAGATAGAGATGTCTAGTGTGATAAAGGGTTTCATATAGTTGTCGAGGGTTCTATGCTTTTGGGGACAGTTTTGGATTTGAAAGGTTAGGGTTGTAGAATTTGAATGGCGGGAAAGACGGAATTAGGGTTTCCAAAGGCAAGTGCTTGTAGTTTAAGAGAGCAATTAGCAAGAACGACGCTGCGTCATGTGAGATTGCAAGGGCACATCTATGTTGAGCTTAGGGAAGATGGGAAGAGATTCATATTCTTCTGCACATTGTGTCTTGCTCCATGTTATAGTGATTCAGTGTTGTTTGATCATTTGAAAGGTAATCTCCACACTGAAAGATATGCTGCTACTAAAGCTACGCTGCTGAAACCGAATCCGTGGCCATTTAATGATGGTGTACTTTTCTTCCATAGTTCGTCTGAGTCGGACCAGCATTTGTCCACGTCAGAATCTAGTCATATTAAGCCATTGGATAATAAGAGGGATGATGAAAATGATCTTGCAATTGTTCGTTATGTTGAAAATTTAAATCCCAATATTGATGGACATATTTCACCTGATGGGTCTGGCTGTGAAAACAGTATTGATTCTTTAGGGGCTGACGTGGATTGTGATAAAAGTTCCTGTGATGGGGGTTTGAATGGTAATAGAGAGAGTCATGATTTGCTGATTCCAGGTGTTTTGTGTAAAGATGAAATCTCAGATTTGGCAGTGAGGTTTATGGGTGTTGGGCAAATTGCTGCTAGGTTCTGTGAGAAGGATGGAGTTTCAAATGGAATGAGAAGAATTTGGTGCGAGTGGCTGGGCAAGAAGAATTCCAGTTATGAGGGCGCCCTTATTATTCCAGACCATGACTTTGCAGTTTTGACATTTCCTTATAACTATGACTTAGGAAGGAAGGGGTTAATCAATGATGTGAGATATCTGCTTACATCTAGTTCTCATTCGGATTTCGAGGGACATGGAAGTGCTAGAAAGAAAAGGAAGTCGTTTTCTGATCCAGAAGATATTAGCGAGTCTATGAGCAATCAATACGATTCTTCTGGGGAGGAATCTCAGTCATCAAACACTGCCAGTTCAAAATTGCAGTTGGATGAATATGATGACCAGCTTCTGAGTTCAAAAGCTATATTGAGCAAAACTTTGAGGAGAGAGTTGAGGCGACAGCAGCGTGTAGCAGCTGAGAGAATGTGTGACATCTGCCAACACAAGATGCTTCCAGGGAAAGATGTGGCAACACTCTTGAACAGGAAAACTGGAAAACTTGTTTGCAGTAGTAGAAATGTGAATGGGGTAACTATTTTTATGCAACTTTTATCTATTCTGTTAGAGTAATACTTTGATTTATGCTAATGTTGTTGGCAGTGCCTCTATTCGTCAAGATACGCATTGTCGTATGTAGTTCTGCTCTATATTTGACTTAACGTTTACGAAAATTAATTTTTTTCCCCACATGCAGGCATTTCATGTATTTCATATTTCCTGCCTAATACACTGGATACTTCTCTGTGAGTTGGAAATTCGTACAAAACTGTCAGTTGGTCCTAAAAAGAAACGGAGATCTAGGAAAAAGAGTGGGGCTAAATGCAATGAAGTTGGAAAGAATGGTGAGATAAAAGCTACAAGAAAGCAAATTTACTCAGTTTTCTGTCCAGAGTGCCAGGGCACAGGGGTAAATATCGATGGAGATGAGCTGGAGAAACCAACTGTCCCTCTTTCTGAGGTTTGCAAATTGTGGCTAATTTCCTTTTCCCTCTTCCTTTGTTTTTTATTTGGTTCGAAACCTTGATTTTGTCAGCGATGATGTTTTCTTGGTTTGAAACCTTCATTATGCCATAATATAATTTGTGAATATGCTATAACAGAGTATTCAAGTTATTGTTATCTTTATTCTAAGCTTCATCCATCATTTCAGATGTTCAGATATAAAATAAAATCTAGTGATGCCCGCAGAGCATGGATGAAAAGTCCTGAAGAGTTGCAGAATTGTTCCACAGGATTCCATCTTCCTTCCCACTCTGAAGAAATGTGTCAGGTTCCAAGATTTCATATCAAAATGTTCTACATAAACAGAAGCAGAAATTTATTGTCATTCATATTACCTTGTTTTTGAGGGTAGATATTTGTATATTGTTATTTAGGTTCTTTTAAAAATATAAAGTTCTAGCGGACATTAATACTAGGCCTTCAATTGGTAAATTTCAGGAAAATGTGTTGCCACTGAAGTTGCTGCACTTCTATCGTGCTGATGAGTAGAGCTGGGCTACAGACTCACAGAAGTAACCTCTTTAAGAAAAATAAGGATAAAAGCATATAGATCTTAGACAAATCAAATTTCATTAACCGGTTGTAATGTCATGATTCTCATGAAAACCTAATGGATAGTCCTTGGTGTAGGAGTAGGTGCATCAGAGAAATTTGCCGTTGTGGATTTCTTTGCCATGAAACCAATGTATATTCCTGTCATCAGAAAGAGGTACATATGGTAGTGTATATTTCAGTTTATCTTCGATTGTAAATGACTTGTTGGTTAATGCCACGTTGACTCCTTTATTTTGAACAAATTATTGTATCTCAAGTTTATTTTCTTTGTTGGTGCACCGGATATTTTAAATTTATCAGTCAAAGATTCTTATGTGATGCTTAGAAGATACTCTTCATGTCAATTGGTGTTGCATCATCAGACAAATACCTCATGTTCAGTATTGTTGGCTGTACATCAAGTGTGTAATTTAGCAACTGTTTTTCCTCTTGAATTCTAGATATTACGCGAATGGGAAATAATAACAAATGGTTATATTATATATGAACTGCTTGGTAGGATTTCAGGATGTTCATTTCTTCATGCGATGTTTCCCACCCTATTGATCCCAGCACTGACACTAAATCCTAAACCCCTGTGACCATAAACATAATGCGAAGCAACGTTATTATTGAACGGGAAAACTATTAGCCCAATGCGAGGTTTTGTAAATGATTGCTTGTCATGCGGGTGTGATTGGTTAAAAAAGACCGGCCGAGCAGGCATTCCCAGATGGGTACTATTGGGTTGTCAAGAACCATTGTCCGATGGCAGACTAACCTACTATAGNTATAATGCGAAGCAACGTTATTATTGAACGGAAAAACTATTAGCCCAATGCGAGGTTTTGTAAATGATTGCTTGTCATGCGGGTGTGATTGGTAAAGAAGACCGGCCGAGCAGGCATTCCCAAATGGGTACTATTGGGTTGTCAAGAACCATTGTCCGATGGCAGACTAACCTACTATAGTATTACGAACTAAGATTTCACATTAGTTCTTATATGACTTGCACTGGTCATAATTTACAACAACNAGTATTACGAACTAAGATTTCACATTAGTTCTTATATGACTTGCACTGGTCATAATTTACAACAACATTGTATGAAATAAGGCTCATTTACTATCTACACATGATAGTAAACTTAAGTAATAACCCCAAAATGCCTTTCAAATCTATAATCCATTATACTATAATGAATGATCTAAATTATTTCGACATTGTTTGCAAAATTTGATGGATTGGAATAGTCTATTAGAGCATCTCTAATTGTAACTTTAATTTTTATTTGAATTTGAGTTAATATTTGAATAAAAAGTTTAATTTGTTACTAATGAACAAACTCAAATTTAAGGAGGTCTAACCCTTAGGATTAGTCCAATAGTTAAATTTGTTTTCTAATAAACAAAAGGTCTCAAGTTCGATAATTCTCACATTTTTTAAGGGCTAGCTAGACTTGTTCCTTAGGAAACATGTTTTTAAACTAGCTCGAGCTACAGTGGTCGGTCCCAGAGCTCGAGTAAATAGTTGGTGCAAGTTTAAACACCTTGTAGCTAAAAAAAAAGAGCAAATCCAAATNCAGAGCTCGAGTAAATAGTTGGTGCAAGTTTAAACACCTTGTAGCTAAAAAAAAAAGAGCAAATCCAAATTTAAAGGAATATAAATATAATTATTGAATCTTTAAAAGAGAATAAAATCTGACTATTTGTGATTTGAGTAAATATTTAAATTTTTCTTAGTTTGGTATGAATTTAACTCTAGAATTAGAGAAAAATTACAGGTTAGTTTTACCGAAATTTAAACTTGAGTCTAAATATGATAAAAGTGGAAGATGCTTTTATAACCCGACAATATGGTCCAACGTAGATATGACAGTATAACCAGTGTTTCGAGGCAATCCAAGCCCGGTCAAACCGTTGACTATGTTTATAATTTGTGAAATTTGAATAAGTAGACGACCATTACCCAGCCGGCGGACTCGATCTCTGAATGTGCATTTGCCGTTAGATTGCTATGGTAAGAAACATCTGCCACAATTGTCGTAAGATTGTGCTCAGTTTATAAGGTTCTATATGTATAGTGGTTGATGAGATATAAGCCGTAAATTAGTTTATCTATTGTTTAGAAAGACTCCTTTGGGCATATCTGGTTTGAGTGTTAAGTGGTAAAATTTAATTAGATTAGTCCAACGATAACTTAATACAACTATGATTGGATCAATTGAAATACAAATTGTTAAAAACTAACTTTATGCTATAATGTCAAGTAATACCATACATACGGTAAAAACCAATCACTTGCGACGGGTGACATAAAGTCAATTTTGATTGGTTTTAGAATTGAAAATGATGAGATGATCTCTAACTAGGTTTTGTATTTGATTGGACACGAGGAGCGCTTTTTCGCTTTTNAGCCGTAAATTAGTTTATCTATTGTTTAGAAAGACTCCTTTGGGCATATCTGGTTCGAGTGTTACGTGGTAAAATTTAATTAGATTAGTCCAACGATAACTTAATACAACTATGATTGGATCAATTTAAATACAAATTGTTAAAAACTAACTTTATGCTATAATGTCAAGTAATACCATACATACGGTAAAAACCAATCACTTGCGATGGGTGACATAAAGTCAATTTTGATTGGTTTTAGAATTGAAAATGATGAGATGATCTCTAACTAGGTTTTGTATTTGATTGGACACGAGGAGCGCTTTTTCGCTTTTTTTTATCTTAGTATAATATATCAATAATTCAAATATAGGATTTGTGTTGGTATTGCAACACTAGACTCAAACTTTTTCTTAACCTTGAACAAAACATGTTGTAGATAAAATAGTGGATCGATTATTAGAATCGGTATGATTTGATTTATTTAGTATCATATTATGCCCGAATCAAACTTGCTCGTAAAATATCACTTGGACAGATAAACATTTGGTGTCTATTCAGGGCCGACCTCCCATGTGCCGGCACCGGCATGCAACAAAACATCACCTTTTGACATTTCAAGTAATATCAACTTTATTAATTCATTACCAAATCCAAGTGCACAAGCCGGCCCAACATTAACACAAGGAACAACCACTAGTTTAACTCTGAGCATCACTATATATATATATGTATCTTATGTTTAGCAAATTGTAGGTATAATCAAACATGGGACATTGTCAAAAGCTCAAGAACTTCATGTATTTTCTCATGGTACTAGCCATGGTCTTTCTACTTATTGACGAATCGCAGGCACGTTCACTGTGTCAGCTAGAAGGTACAGTATTGAAAAACGATATTTCTAATTGGCCAAGACGGAGAGAGTTCATGACAATGCTTCCGAAGGGTGAGCCGGTGCCTCCTTCGGGACCAAGTCCTGCCATAAACTTCTGATTCAAGAACTCTATTTTCAATTGGAATCGTTCGACATCTGAATTTTGTTTCGTGTAAAATTAGCAAGTGAAGTATTTATGAAATATATCCATACCCTACAATATCTTGTTTATGGAATTATCTGTTTTATTATCCTTGATTGTTTTTCCATTCTCAAACGTTATAAAAGGGTTTATTTTATTGATGGAATCTGGATCTTCTTGCTACAACATTTGTATTAGCAAAAATTGTAGAGCTAGAAGGAGTGTAGGTCAACATTGTAATTTTTACTTCATTAATTAAACTAATTAGCAAGGCTGACGTTTGACTGGAAACACTTTACATAATAAAGTTACTACACTAAACCCTCACCTGTTGAGTATCCACATACTCAACATTGCATGTTAGTACATTGATCCTCTCGTTTACCTCTAACTCTACTCTCAACCCTAATTCACCTTTATAGGCTCAAAATACAGTTTTTCTTGGGACCAAGAAAACATAAATTTGTGGATGACCGCTCGAGCAATAAGAGAGAGGTGAGAGGGTGACAATTGTTGAAATGAAAAAAGAATTCAAACCAAGGCAGGGGAATAGGGACCGCAAATTGGATTGTAGTCTATATTTATTACTATGTGAAAAAATTGATTTGATAACCTGACAAAAAATTACCTAAAAAAATCTATTTACTATAATTTTTCAAATATTGTATAAAATAACGTATTTGGTAGCAAATTGAAAAAAAATGGGTAAAAGTGTAATTGATGTCTGTAAGAAAGGGTAAAATTGGCATAAAGACTATTATTGATGGAGTTTTGAACTTATTTGAAACAAAATATGAGAAGTAGGACTTGCTTGTCTAAATGAAATTGGGTGGGGAATCTACATCTCCACCCCATTAGATCTCTTTCCCTTGTAATCAAACTACTAAACTCATCAATTGTATATAATTAATTAAACTACTAAATACACTCATTGTATCTAATTAGAGATTAATTTTACCACATCCACACTCGCCCCATTTTATATGCACCCATGGTAGCAGTGACGACGATGGGGTAGCAACAGTGGACTTAATCGGTGATGGAGTGTGCCAAGATTAGGTGGACTTAGTTAATAATATGATAATCATAAAAAGGGATGTATTTATTGATTGATGAGGTTAGTATAGATAGGAGTGGACAGGGGATTTAATGAGGTGGGGATTGAAATTTGTGTAGGGATGGCAGTGGACTGAATTGGGTGTGGGGAGCGTAGTTTTCATCCTCATACTCGCTTAAAAAAATTCTGTCAATCCTCGGTCCACCCCCGTTAACGAGTATAATTTTCATTCTCATCTCAGTCTGCAGGTAAATTTGTAATTCTCGTCCCCGCCTTCACCCCCGCCCTCGCCTNTCATTCTCATCCCAGTCTGCAGGTAAATTTGTAATTCTCGTCCCCGCCTTCACCCCCGCCCTCGCCTCTGCCCCCATCCACCATATCTGTCCCAGGCCAAACCCAAGCCCAAGTTCAAGTTAACATAGTTCAAAATTCTAAATAAATCTAACATTCTAAATAATCTAACATAATTATAATTAAAAGCTTGTCATCTACAACATAATCTAACACAATATAATTAAAACCTTGTCTACAACATAATTCAATATAATATAATTAAAAGTTTGTTTCCCATGTAAATCTAACACAACATCATGCAAAAGCAATATAATTTAACATAACATAATCCAACATAAAAACGCAAAAATCTACACTTTTACAAGCCAAAAACATAAAAAAAAATAAAATAAAAAATAAAATATTTTTCAAAAGAAAAAATTATTCAATAATATGTAGATTTGTATTCACAATAATATGTATATATATGTATATACACACACACACATATATATAATAATAATAATAATAATAATAATGGGTAAAACAAGGGCAGGAGTAAGTGTCAATCCGTCTCGCTTTCATTCCCGCAAAGGTTTATACAGTATTCTCATATACGTTCACTGTCTAATACGTATGGTCTATTCCCGGTCCAAATAAGATATGTTTGGACGAATACCCATTTTTACACGGATCACTGTCATCCCTTGCGGGCTTTAATAAATGGTATTTTAATTAACAAAGTGGAATTTATTGAAAAGTTTTCCAAATAAATTTTATTAAATATTTCGAAGAAATTTTATTTAAAGGTGTAAATGGAAATCAGATGAAGTTAGTAGTTAGTCTAATGGCCACCATTAGGCTAACCACCGTTAGTGGTTTGAACTTTATCGTTTCCTTTCTTGTAATAATACCAAAAAAAAAAATCAGATGGCACGAAAACTCACCCTCATCCAACTACACTGATAATTAAGTCAAACTATTTGAACTTGGCTCGGTTTAAACAAAATAAGCTCGACAAGTTTGACTCGAATTTGTAAAGCTCGACTCCATTATCAGCCCTCCATCTAGGGTTATTGATCGAGTTGAGCTTTGCGATGTTGAACCCGAACCTATTGAGTTTGTTTTTCTAAATGAACTATAAAAATTATTTAAACTCANTCAGATGGCACGAAAACTCACCCTCATCCAACTAGACTGATAATTAAGTCAAACTATTTGAATTTGGCTCGGTTTAAACAAAATAAACTCGACAAGTTTGACTCGAATTTGTAAAGCTCGACTCCATTATCAGCCCTCCATCTAGTGTTATTAATCGAGTTGAGCTTTGCGATGTTAAACCCGAACCTATTGAGTTTGTTTTTCTAAATGAACTATAAAAATTATTTAAACTCAACATGTTTAGAAAATGAGTCGAGTTAAAGTAGCTCAATTATTTTATATATAAATGAGTCCAACTTTGTAAGCTCGAACTTAGCTTTTTTAATCTCATTTTTTTCAAATAGAGTTAAAAAATTATTTAAGTTCAATTTGTTAAAAGTATAAATCGAGTTCAAATCAAATTTTATCCAAATCGAGCCCGAATAAACTCGTGAGCATTAACGCCCCTCTCTACGTCCAACTGATTCACTGACCNAGCTCGAACTTAACTTTTTTAATATCATTTTTTTCAAATATAGTTAAAAAATTATTTAAGTTCAATTTATTTAAAATATAAATCAAATTCAAATCAAATTCTATCCAAATCGAACCCGAATAAACTCGTGAGCATTAACGCCCCTCTCTACGTCCAACTGATTCACTGACCGTAGCCCAATAAGCCCATGTTTTTGTTTACTCCAGCGCCTATCCTCTAATAGACAGCAGGGCGATTCACACGCAAGACATGGCGAATTGGGTCATAGTAGAGCTCAATAGAAACTCCACGAACTGCACCAAAATAATCGAAGACATAGTGAGGATAGAGAAAAATATCTTCCCCAAGCACGAATCACTTGCTAGATCGTTCGACGATGAACTCAGAAAGAAGAACAGTGGACTGCTTTACTCAGATGTGAACGGTGAAGTTGGAGGTTATGTCATGTATTCATGGCCTTCTTCTCTCTGTGCCACCATCACAAAACTTGCAGGTTTCCATTTTCACCCTCTTTCTTTTAATTCTTATAAATTCCAGAGAGAGAGAGATGTATTGGTTTTTTGCCTTTTTCTGTTTTGGTTCGGTAGTATTGTTGACCCCTTTTGGATGAAATTGTCACGGTGGAAACTTGAAAGATACCCATTGAAAAAAATGAAAAAAAGTTGTATAAATTATAAAATAAGAAAATTTTGGTGGATAGGAGATTGATTTGAAGGCATGCTTTAAGAATTTTGTAAAAAAACTGGATTGTTACCTGAGGGGTTATTGGAACCATGAATGTTAAAGTGGGAATGAATTTGGAATGGGAAATTTTTTTTTTTTGGGGGG